AGCACAGGCTGGGGAGCACCATTGTGTGCGTGTTGTTAATTCTGACGAGGCTGAGTCCTGGTGCCCTAATTGCCATCCGCAGCTTGCCAAGCAGCGTCTCTGCTAACAGTCTGGTGAGCAGCGAGACACTTGGCTCTTTCCCGGTGGTTTCGGGAATTGCTGCAGGTGTGGCCGGCCCGGTGAGCAATGAGGCTGCGGAGTCAACGCCAAGCCAGGCCCTCTCCCTCCAAGCTGGGTTTCGCTGATGCCAGACCATCAAAGCCCATGCTGGAGGGTCACTGGGGAAGGGAATGGGGAGCAAGCCGACCTGCCGGGTTATGGGGTCCTCTTACCAAGGGGGTGGGAAAGTCTGCAAAGGCTTTGACTCAGGTGAGACTACGCCTGGAGGCAGAGTGGAGCTGGGCATTACGGATAGATCCAGCCACGTGGGGAAAGCCTCAGTGGGGAGCCTGGTACCAGCTACCAAATTCCATGTGCTGCTGGATCTTGTGCCAACGTGGGGGGATCTCCTCCAGGCTGCCAGCAGCCTGGAATGAATTCACTAAGAGTCAGTGGTAAAGCAGCGGCGGGGTATGCGGCAGACCCAGGATTAACTGGAATCTACCTGAAACAGTTCCGGGCCATCCTGATGTGGACTGTGCTCTGCTGTATAAGCTGGGAGGGAAATTTCTTCCCCAGTTTTTCCCAAGTCCCTTGATCTGGAACATGGCCCTGGTAGTTGGGCTGAGAGGCACCAGGTCAATATCGTCATACCAGGAGGTGCCGTTACCGTCTCCAGATATTTTGCTTCGTGAGCGAGCAGTGTCCTTGAAGCCATGCTGCGTTGTTGGTAGTTTGGTGATGCTTTGGGGCGCTGTAGCAAGCAGCAGGGGAGCAGAGCTAGTCAGTTCCTGGGGCAGAGTTGCTCCCCGGGAATCAGTTCCCTGGTGTTTGGGCTGAGAGTTCATAGATTCTATGGCCACATGGACCCCTGTGCTCATCTTGTCTGACCTCCTGCGTAGTACAGGCCAGAGGCCGCCCTGAATTAACTTCTGTTTGAACTCAGAGCGCGTCTTTGAGAAGAATATCCAGTCTTGATTTTCAGATGTCCAGTGCTGGAGAATCCACCACGACCCTTGGTAAATTGTTCTGACTGTGTTTAAAAACAATTGTGCCTTGTTTCTAGTCTGAATTTCTCTAGGTTCAACTTCCAGCCATTGGAGCTGGTTAGACCTTTGTCTGCTAGACTGAAGAGCCCTGTGTTATCGAATCTGGGCTCCCCATGGAGGTACTTGTAGACCAGGGGTCGGCAACCTTTCCGAAGTGGTGTGCCGAGGCTTCATTTATTCACTCCAAGTTAAGGTTTCGCGTGCCGGTAATACATTTTAACGTTTTTAGAAGGTCTCTTTCTATAAGTCTATAATATATAACTAAACTATTGTTGTATGGAAAGTAAATAAGGGTTTTAAAATGTTTAAGAAGCTTCATTTAAAATTAAATTAAAATGCAGAGCCCCCCAGACCGGTGGCCAGGACCCGGGCAGTGTGAGTGCCACTGAAAATCAGCTCGCGTGCCGCCTTCGGCACGCGTGCCATAGGTTGCCTACCCCTGTTGTAGACTGATAAGTCGCTTCTTTGCCTTCTCTCTGTTAAGCTAAATAGATTGAGCTCCTGGAGTCTATCACTACAAGGCAAGTTTTCTAATTATTCTTGTGGCTCATCTCTGAACCCGCTCCAATTTATTAACATCCTTCATGAATTGTGGGCACCAGAACTTCACAAAGTGTTCCAGTAGTGATCGCATCAGTGCCAAATCCAGAAGCAAACTAACCTTTCTACTCCTACTTGAGAGTCTTCTTTTTATGCATCCCAGGGTTGCACTGGGAGCTCATGTTCCGATGATTATCCACCGTGACCCACAAAGCCTCCCAGGATAGTCCCCTGTGCTCTGAGTATGGCCTGCATTCTTTGCTCCTACATGTAGGACTTTACATTTGAGCAAAAGTTCAGACAGAGGGGAGTGGCTGTGTACCATTTGTGGCCGCTCTGTTCCAGGACGGGTGTATATGACGTAAATAATTACACTAGGAAAATACAGAGACTCTACTTCACTTATTCCTCCTCCAGTGGAAACTGACCTGCAAGGATATGGCTCAGCAGAGGGGCAACAATAGCATTTATTGCAAGCTCTAAGATCCAGCTTAGAACGCACAAAGATGCTAAGGGCATCAAGCATGGTGCCAGGGGATACCACCATAGGGGTTTCTATTTGCACATGGTTTCTATTTTCATACGTGCTGGCACCACCTAGAAATTGATGGCACCACATGGAAGGGCCCCCAGCTGGACTCTACGACGTTCAGTAAATGCCTTGAGGTAGATGAATCCTTGCAGTGCAGTTCTTTGATGCCCCCCTAGGGAACGCCAGCCCAGCCGGAGAGCCTGGCGGGTTCTGGGTTACTCATGTGGAGCGGGACACGGCTTTCCCTGGGGCGCTGCTTTGCATACAGCTCAATCCCTCATGGGGCTGGTCGACCAAGTGTAAGGAGCTAGAGTGGGGATGGCAGGCAGGGAGCTTGCAAACACAAACCTCACAGTAAAAGCTGGTCCTCGGGCCTCAGAGAGACCAGGTCAATTGGCAGCTCAAAGATTTCCTGGCACGGCGTCCCCCCCGTCATGCTGCGCGCACCGAGGAGCCTCGGTTTCTGGTCTTGACCCCTCCATAGACCAGCCCACTGCATCCACAGGACCTTTGTTACTCGCCCCAGCGCCCAGACCTCTCGCTTTCCCCCTTATACACCCCGGGGCAGGGCTGGACTGTGTGGGTGCCATGGCAACCCAATAGGTGTGGCGAAGGGCCTTTAGCTCAGAGCCCCCGTCCACTGTCAACTCAATAGTCTGGCTGCCATAGGAAGCTCTTAGCTGTGGGGCCCAGGCTGGAGGAAGATGGGGAGGAACAGAGCCTCTGGCCTGGGCATGTCACATTTGGCAAGGACATACCGGTAACATGGCAACACCATTTGGCTAGAACAAGCTCAGGGAGATGGGGGGGCATTGCTGGTGGGGGGGGAGGGCGGAGGAGGGTCCAGTCTCTGGCCTGTATCTCAAAAACTCCCCCTCCCTCCTTATCATGTGAATTGGGGTAGCTCCTAGAGGCCCCAACCTAGATCAGGCCCTCATTGTGCCAGGCAGCTCCTCAGGGCAGCGCTCCCAGTTGTATCACCAGCCTCACAGCATTTTCTTTAAGCCCCAGCCTCTGGATTCATGGGATTAAGTGCAAGTCTCAGCTTTCATTTTATTTTAAAAGGGTAAATTTCTGGCTCTGCTGGTTGCAGAGAAGAGATGGAAAATGGCCCCACCACCAGAAAGCAAAGGGAAAGAACCCACTAGTTATCATTCTGTTTAAATCTCTTCACTAGGAAGCCAAACTCATGATCTTTGGTGCCTGCTTCATGGTCTCTGATCGTTTGAGGTTCACAATATTGGCTGGGGAAAAGGAAGGTTCATTAACCCCTTTTTCCAGAGAAGGAGATGCAGGGACTTGGCCAGAGTCACACCCTGCCAGGACCGGACCCCAGATCCCCCTGATCTCAGGCCCATGCCTCCTTCCTTCAGAGGCACCTTCCATTTTGCATTCAGACAGCCCTCTCTGGAGGAGGCACATGCTGCATTTTCTCACAGGAGACTTAGCTTTTATTCTTGCCTATGGCAAAGCAGAGCCCTGGGGGGTTTCGGAGTATATTTGAGAGGAGAGAAGAGGGTTGCAAACATGCAATTAAGAAGGAGAATTGTTAATTGCAGTTTAGAAAGGACTCCTGATCTAAGCTGATATTTAGCTACTTTATCTTCCACTCACTAAAGAACCCTGCCCTGCCCTGCCCAGATCAGATCAGATCAGATCACCCCTCACTGCACCTGCATCCCAGCCCCCAGTGACAATAGCCCACGTTTGCCAGGGCTGCTTTTATCCCGGGCTCCCTGCTGCAGGTGTCAGCACTCACGCAATTAAGCACAGCTTGGGCCAATCAACCTAGCTGCCTGCCGGGACCGGATTGCCTGACACCCTTTCATGCCCAGACAGCCCTGCTGCTAAAGCCGTCCCAGCATCTCCAGCACTGTGCGTGCTATGCAGGAGCACCGAGAAGGGCCCTAGCAGAAAAGTCATGGGCCATGCAGCCTAGTCCCGAGGCCTGTTTCTAGCCGTGCTCTGTGCCACCTGCTGCAGAGGTAGCAGATAGCTCTGCGATGCTACAGAACCTGGGGGCTGGCTGGAGGTCCCTTGCAGTGCATCTGTTGGTGCAGCAGGAGGTGTATGCTGACCATGGGCTCGCTCCTCTGATCCTGCTCTCACCTGCTCCCAGGTAGCTGGTATCCTCCCCGGCAGCGAGGTCACGCTGGGGCCTGTGGACGTCTACAGGGCTCTTCCTTGTGAGCAAAGGCGGCAGGCCCTTGCTCTGCGCTCCCAGCCTGGCTTGTTCTGCAGAGGGTGTTTCCAGCTCAGTGCTGGAGATCCGGGGCTGGGCTTCGACAGGGGGCACCACCGCAGCCCAGGGGCCTTCTGACCTGGCGGGTCTGGTTCAGGCTGTCTCGGCACCTGCTGTAGCTCCAGGGCCAAGGGGGTGAAAGCTAGTAACCAGAGCTGATCTGCATCCCCCTGCATTGAGCAGGATCCTGCTCCCCGCCGCAGCTCACTTGATTTATACCCGTAAAAAAGCCCCCCGGTGTCTGCCGTGTCAGCCAGACCCACTGTGGGCGTGATCGCGGGCCTGCAGGGGGAATGGATACCAGCCAGGAGGGGTGCAGCCACTGGCACTGGTACAAACTGCCCCTTGCCTGCGGGTGAGTCTGCAGGCATCAGCGAGGGATCGACAGGGCTGCTTGATCTCACCCTGTCCTCGCCGTGTGACGCTCCCAGGGAATGGACGCTCTGAGAGTCGCCCAGTGGGAACGGATCGCAGGAGCTTGGGGACCATGTGGGAGACCTAGGCAGAATGCTCATCATCATGGGGCTGGGGGCTGGAAATGGACCCCAATAGCTTCCCGGTGGCAGACCGGCACTGCCGGATCCCAGCCGGACGAAGTGAGAATGAAACTGTCGGGGGGAAATGCAGGGGACTTTTCTGCACCCTGGAGTCGGTTCCGATTTGAGCTTGGGGTCGGTTCTGAGTCTGAGATGGTTTGGCCAGAACATGTGTCTCTGTCTCTTTCTCTCGGCTGTGCCCATCACAGGGGTATCTCGCTCCCCCCAGGCGTACACCTCCCTCTGATCCCCTCTCCTCTTTGTCTCTCTCCTGCAGGTTCCCAGGACAATGGGAATGTGATTCGCATCAACAAGGTCCAGCACCAGCCACTACGTGTGGGGCTGGCTGAGCCAGTGGCCCTGCCCTGCCTCTTCTTGCTCCAGCCTTCGGCCTCGCTGGGGCCCAACGAGCCACCGGACCCGCCTCGCATCAAATGGAGCAAGGTGCAGGCGGCATCCGGGCAGAAGGAGGACGTGCCAGTCCTGGTGGCCAAGGATAACGTGGTGAAGGTGGTGAAAGCCTACGAGGGGAGGGTGTCCCTGCCTGGCTACCCCAGCAACCGCTACAACGCCACCCTGGTGATCGGCGCGGCGCGGGCCAGCGACGCCGGGCTGTACCGCTGCGAGGTAGTGGCCGGCGTCGACGACGAGCAGGACCTGCTGCCCCTGGAAGTCACGGGTGAGTTGGGGGCATGGCAACGTGGGGGGGGGGGGGCACGCCGGCAGGATGGGGGTCATGAGCCATGCAGGCCGAGCACCAGAGTGGACACTTCCTCTGCCACCTGCTGCTCCGCATCCCTCACCCCCACCTCCACCTCCGCAGTGATGCCCAAGCCAAGCGGGTGATTAGTTTCCCATTGGATGTCTACGGGAGAGCCACTGCGGGAGTGTCGGCTACTCCAGGCTGGCCAGAGCCCAGCCACCGCCGTGCGCTGCCAGTCCCAGGAGCTGGAGGTGAACTCAGCCCTGGGGGCAGCTGGGATCAGTGCAGCTGCTGCGGCACGGTATAATAGCAGGGTAGGCAGTGGCACTGGTATCTCTCAGGGCAGCCCTGGCTCTGGGGCCGCTGGCTCTGGGTCTCTCTCCTTTGTCTGGCTGTGTGTATACGTGTGTGTGTCCTGTGCACTGAGCAGGGGTGCACCGTCTCTTCACCCCGGTACGCTGGAGTCCCAGTAACATGCAGTGTAGTCACTTGGGCGCCCCCGGAAGCAGCTTCCCGCTGATGCTAATGGCTGGTGCTCAGGCTGCACGTCCAGCTGGTGTCCAAAGGGGAACTGATGGAATCTTTCCACCCTGACAGCACATGGCCAGCGACTCCTTCTCTATCCGCGCATAGCCCCGCTCGGGCGCTGTCAACGCTCCGCGAGCAAACGCTGCCGGCTGCTTCTCAGCGTCCTCCTGAGGCTTCCCCCGGAGCTCTAGCGGCTCCGCGGGGCTGTAGTACTTGCAGACTGGGGCCTTGCTCATGATTTGCTTTGCTCTTTCAGAGGGGTCTGCTGCTGGCTCCGGGAGGGGAGTGGGGTCTAGTGGGTTAGAGCAGAGGGGGCTGGGAGCCAGGACTCCTGGGATCTGTTACTGGCTCTGAGAGGGGAGTGGGGTCTAGTGGGTTAGAGCAAGGGGAGGACTGGGAACCAGGACTCCTGGGTTCTATTCCCAGTGCTGCCAGGTGAGTGTGATCGGGGAGGCTGAGAATACAGACAGCTGCCTTATGTCCCCAGCTCTGTCACTGTGTCACTTTGGGCAAACACCTTCTCTGTGGATAAACAGAAAACAGCAGGCTCCAGGGCTCTCAATCCCGCCCCTTTCACCAGCGTGGAACTTACTTTGTCCCTAAGACAAACTGTCTCTGGGCTGATTGGAGCGGGGGCTCCTTCCTCCCTGCGCAGCCCCCATCGGCATTGTCCCCTGTTCACGCCCCGCATGTCCCCTTCTCCCCAGGCGTGGTGTTCCACTACCGAGCCGCCAGCAACCGCTACGCGCTGACCTTCCCCGAGGCCCAGCGCACCTGCCAGGAAAACTCCGCCGTCATCGCCTCCCCGAGTCACCTGCAGGCTGCCTTCGAAGACGGCTACGACAACTGCGATGCTGGTTGGCTGGCCGACCAGACCGTCCGGTAAACGGGGGAGCCCCCGGATCCTGGGCGCTGTCAGGATGCGGCTCGGGGAGTAGCCCTATTGGAGAGTGGCCGTTCGGTGATGGGGGTGGGACTATGGGACAGCTTCACAGTGTGACGCGGCTGCTTCGTTTCTACATCTTGCACCTCGCCTGGCAGCACCGGAGCCCTGGGAATCGATGTGATGTTGTATCCCTCCTTTGGAGACCCTAGATCCCTATTTCCCTGTGGGCCCAGGCTCCCGTAACACAGCCCTGACCCAGCAAAGCCGCCATGCCGGTGGCCCAGAGGCACCCAGCTAAGCCGCAGCCACTGAGCCATAGATTCAGATACTAGCGGCCTGCAAAATCTACCTAAAGCAGGTTCCCGCGCATGCAAAAAACGTGTGTGCAAAACACCTTTGTGTCTGCAGATCAGGCAAGGGGCTTGGTAACTGGTGCACAGTGGGGCCTTTCCACGCGCAGGCCTGTCCCACGTGCACAGATCTGCTCCCATCTCTGCCACTGACTCGCTGGGTGACCTGGAGTGAGTCATGTCCCTGCTCCATCCGCAAACTGGGGAGAATGACCCTGACCAGCCTGAGCGTGGGGGGTGGAAGGTGGTTAATCCCTGCCAAGCACTTTGCGGCTGTACTTCTGCTGTTAGCAAACAGGGGTCAGTTCTCCTTTGGGTTCAGGACACAGATCCGCACTTACATCTCCCATCTGTACACCTCCAGCTCCCCCCTGCCCCTCTCCATCTCTCCATCCCCCTGGGCCCCCGGCTCTCCTCTATATCAAGAGATTTTTTTCCCCCTCCACCTCTTCTCCGTTATCATTGAAATTGCCATCAGACACCCTCAGCTTCTGACCTGAATCAAAGTGACGGCTGCTTGATTCCAGCGCGGTTCCCCGTGGCGAGTGATTCTCTGCAAGATCAATGTGCCGCCGCCTGAGTGTCATGCAGCCAGATCCGTCACAAATTCGGAGAGCCGGGGCTTGGCATCTCTGCTGTCAAAGGGCCCCCTGCAGAAACACCGGGCCCCTACTCCCACCCCAGCTCCCTGCAGACACCGATGGGGATGCTGTGAATCTGTGACCCCCTCCCCCAATCTCCCCCTTTGCACTCTATGCTTCCTGCTTTAAAGCATAGCAGCACGGAGGCAGCATCTGTTGTGTGGCTGTCCGAGGCTTGTGGGACGGGGAGGACAAGGGCTGATCCAGGCCCGTGACCGCTGCTCTGCACCTGCTCCCCACAGGTACCCCATCACGCTCTCCAGACCTGGCTGCTATGGAGACCGCAGCAGCCTCCCGGGCGTCCGCAGCTACGGGGAGCGGGAAGCCAGCGAAGCCTATGACGTCTACTGCTACGCCAGGGAGCTGCAAGGCAAGCCTGGGGCATGGGCCCCTTCCCGACGACGCTTCCCTAGGCAGCCCCAAAGGGCCCCTCCTGCCGCCTGCTTTCAGGGGCTGGGAAGTGGGGCTGGGACATGGCTGGAAGGGGGCAGTTATTTCCCCCGGCACCTCTGGGCTGGGAGCGTCTCTCTGGCAGGGTCAATGGCAGAGAAGCCAGGAGGATTTCTACCCCAAGAGGTTCAGGGCAGGGAGCGGGCTCCTTGGTGCCAAGCCCTGGCCATCTCCCCTCCACCCGCAGCCTCCCCTGCTGCTCTTTGAGAGTCAATAAAAGGCTCCCTGAGGGCCGGTCCTCAGCCAGCGCCGGGCGGCTCCTGATGGATTGGCGACACACCGCTGGCTGCATGCCGCCCCCAGGGGACGGTGATAAACCGAGGAGCACCGTGCACCTGGCTGTGCCTTATTGCTTAAGCAATGAAGACTTTAAAAATGCATTCCTCTGCTCCGAGCTCCCCGGGCTGACGGATGCTGATTTCACGGCCGTGTCAGCAAATGGAGCAAAGGAGAATTTATTGCCTCTTTGCACCTGAAGCCTTTCTGGTGACCTTGAGCGGTGGGGTGGCTCAGGGATGCTACAGCTGCACCCCCTCTCCCCCTGGGATTTGTGCTGTGGCAGGCCTTGCAAGCTAAGCAGGAGTAGGCCTGGTCAGTGCTTGGAAGGGAGACCCTAGGGTCTCTCAGCAAGTGGTGAGGATGTTTGCCCTTCGGAGCCAGTTCTGCCCCAGTTCCCCGGTAGGATGACAGCGGGCGCTGTGCTGCTGGAGGGGCTTCCTTTCAGATGAGAGGGGAAGGTGGGGTGCTGAGTGGTAGCAAAGATTGCCAGGCCTAGGCAGGGCCAGCTCACGTATCTTGGCTGGATGCCAGCATGAACCTGCCATCCCTTGGATGCAAGAGGCCCAGATCCTCAACTGGTGTAAGTCAGCATCACTCTAGTAAAGTCAATGGCTCTGTGGCACCACTAGGCTTCAGTTCACATCCCAGCTGTTATACAGCACTGTTAAGATGCGGTTGCATTCCACCCCAGAGGTGGCTGCACTGCTGGGTGACTGGTGAGCTGTATGTATCAATGGGCTTTTCTTCCCCTGGCAGGGAAAGTGTTCTTCGTCTCCACGCCCGGACGGCTGACGTCTCAGGGAGCCAGGAAGCACTGCCAGAGCTGGGGGGCCTCGCTAGCCACCACGGGCCAGTTGTACTTAGCCTGGAGGGATGGCTTGGACCAGTGCGACCCAGGCTGGCTGGCTGACGGAAGCGTCCGCTACCCAATCAGGACCCCACGTAAAAAATGTGGCGGGGACGAGCCGGGCGTGAGGACCGTGTACCAGTTCCCCAACCGGACGGGCTTCCCGGACCCAGCCTCGAAGTTTGACGCCTACTGCTACAAAGGTAAGTGGGAGTGAGGGCGTCCTTTCCGGGGACCGATCAGACCAGGGATGATGGGCCTGTCCAGTTCCTGATCCAGAATCACCCTCCGTGTCATTAAAACCACCCACCCGCCCCACGACCCTGGTGCCTGCCTGTCCCTGCATCACCACTTCCCCATGACCCTGGTGCACACCTGTCCCTGCGTCACCTACCCACCCCGCAGCCCTGGTGCCCGTCTAATCCCTGCGTCACCCACCCGCCCCATGACCCTGGTGCCCTCCTATCCCTGCACCACCTCCTCCACATGACCCTGAATCCCTTTACACACTTCCCATGGCTCGGTTCCCCACCTGTTCCACGGCCCTGCTCTGCGTGTGGTGACCCCTCTGTTAACGACTCCGGCGCTGGCTCGGAGATCCCTCCATTACTCCCTGGGGATGGTGCAAGTCGCTTGGTCAGCTGCCTCTCACACTGTCCATTAGTGACTCAAACAGGAAACGGGCTCGTTCTGGCGTTCCTGTGTCCCCCACCCCTCACGCTCACTCATCTCCCCAAGGCTCCTGCAACCCCATAGGGGCCGGAGCCAAACGAGACTTCCAGGCCCCCGGATTTCACCTGGCTCTGGATCCAGGCCTGGTTCGCACTCGCAGGGGGGCTTCCTGCCCTTGCTGGGTGAATCCCACTGAGTCCCTGTTAGCACACGCCCGGTTCTCGTCTCTGTCCACTTGGATCAGAGCAGCCTGTGTCAGCTCCTGCTCGTTCATCTCTTTGCAGCGGGTCAGCAGCCATCCCCGTCCCAGAAGAAACCAGACGAGTTGAGTCCTGAGAAAACAAAGAGCAGCCTGGACCGCGGGCAGCCGGAGCAGGATCCGGATGGGTTGGAGCCGGCGGGGCCTGACCCTCTGGGCATTGACAATGTCTTGGTGGAGCACGCTGAGGAGCGGCTGCCTCTGGCGCGAAACGAGCTGATCCCCAAGGAGCGCGAGGACCCCAGCGTGTCCGGGGACTCCAGGGAGATCACCCGCGATCGCTACACCCTGCGGCACAAGCTGCTGGGGCCAGTCCTGACGGAGGACGAGCAGCTGCAGCTGGTGACGGCTAGCCCAGCCGGGAAAGACCCGGAGCCGCCCCAGGTGGGATCCGAGAGGGCAGCCGCCACAGTAGCTCCCGTTCTGGACGGGGCCGGGGTTCTGGCTGAGCCTGTGTCTCCGAAACCCTCTTCAGTCTCCTTTCCGGCTGGGCCAGGGGAAGATCAGTCTCTGAATATGGTCGACCAGGCACCAGCGCATGGGGTGAGCAGCAACCAGGGAGCCCGCGAGCCGCTGGGCTTCACCACAGGCCGCTGGGAGGAGACACCTGGCCCCAGCCAGTTGTCCTCTGAGGAAAGAGACGCCCCAGCCCTGGGGGAGACCACCGATGCCTTCCAGCCAACCTGGCACGCTGGCATCACGTGGGGGCCCCTGTCAGCTGATCTGCAGCCACCTTCCCAAAGCCCTGCCCCAGAGCTCCCCCAGGAAGGAGTCGCTAGCACCGTGGCCCAGGATAGCATGGGGGCATCATCTGCTGCCAACAAGCCCGAGCAGCCGAGCCCCGCTGCTCCGGATGAACCCAGCCATCTGCCCCACGGCCCCGAATCCACCAAGAAGAGCATCTCCTCGGGACTGAACGGCCGCTACTTCCAGCTGCAGCGCGAGGGACAAGCCCAGGGCGTGGACGGGAATGCTTGGGGGGGCCTCACGCCTGCCCCTGGCCTGGCGCAGGAGAGGAAAGGCAGAGTGGACAACGCAGTCGAGATCCTCCCTGCGGCCAAGCCCACCGCCAAGGCCCACGCAGGGGAAAGCGCCTACCCCCTCTCCAACGAAGTGGATGGGCAGGCCGAGGGGCAGGTCGGCTACCGTGAGTATCTCTAATTAACCTCTATCCGAGGCGGGGGGTGAAGTGGAATTATTTGCGGCCGCCGTAGCTTTATAATGCAGGACTGACCATCTGCCCATGTGTTCGCCAGGGCAGCCCCATGATCTGAGCGATTTGTATCTAGACAAAGAGAAGCGTTTCCCACCCAGTCGTGCCAATTTCACCCCATTCTGACCAGTCTAGTCCGCTCATTACACCTGCAATTCCATTGATGTCCACAGGGTTACTCCTGCTCTGCCCTGGTCTGACTTCTTGTTCGCTGTATCATGGGAGCATCTACACTCCCAAGGATCGGGGCCCCGTCGTGCTGGGAGCCTCACAGACCCCAGGCGAGATGGGGGCCCCCGTCGGGCCGGGCGCAGGGCGGGCGCCAACCGAGATGGGGGGCCCCCGTCGTGCCAGGCGCAGGGCGGGTGCCGACCGAGATGGGGGGCCCCCGTCGGGGCGGGCGCCGACCGAGATGGGGGTCCCCGTCGGGCTGGGCGTGGCACAGACAAGACCAGGTCCCTGTGAGGGGCTCAGGGAGGTGGGGGCAGTGAGCCAGAAAGCCCCAACAATACAACACCAGCCGCCCCCCCACTCACTCTGCCCCCTTCCCTCCTAGTCCACAGACTCCCTCTCCCCATGCAAGGGCACCCCTCCCTTCCCCCCACCCCCTCCCATCTGCACTGAATTCACTGTCTGTATAAACAACTCCCTTGCTCTCACTTCCCCCCACCCCCTGCTCCCAGGGACTGTTGGTGATCTGAGCCCGTCCTGCCCCCTTCTCCACCCCATCTCCCACATCCCCCCCCCCACCTGAGGGAGCCCCCCCTGGACAAAGGGCTGTCTCCCCTCCCCCGCCAGGAGAGAGAGCATCATGTGCAGCCCCCCCATCACCTGGCAACTAACGAGGCCTTCAGAGTGGGGGAGCCTCCTCCCCAGATGTTGCCTGAGTGATGAGGAGCCAGTAGCCATGGCAACCTTGCCTAGCCGGGATCTGCTGCTGCTCATCATTAAAGGCCATTATCAAATCCTTGTGATAATGTGGCAGCGCAGAGCGGGGCTGTGTAAATTGAGTGCTCAGCGCTCGTCACAGCCCAAGGAGAGGGGCCGGGGTGATGGGCGTCCAGCCACTCAATAGCACCTCTCCTCAGACCCTTGTGCACCGATGGTGCTTTCTGTCCCAGGATCCCCCCGCATTGTAGACCCACAGCCTGCCCCTGAGAGCTCCTGGCCCACGGCTGAGGAGCAGGGCACAGCCAGGGCACGTGGCCGAAAGCGGTGGTACTTTTTGCATATTGAATTTGCACAAATGATTCTCACACACGCAGGTGCAGTAGCCCCGTCTGACTGTTCGCACGTGCACGTAGCTGATGTACATGCACAAATGCGGTGGCTGTGTCGGCACGTCAGGCACAGCTCCGTCCATGCCACCGCATCCCTGCCTGGTTTGAAAATTTGGCCCTAGGTGAGACCGTGTCAGAGTCCTATAGAGATCCAGCCCTCCCTGCTCTAACCACCAGACAACACTCCCCTTCCAGAGCCAGGAAGAAAACCCAGGAGTCCTGACTCCTATTACTGTGCTCTGACCCACACACCCACCCCTTCCCCTCTGCCAACATGAAACACCTCCGCGTTCTGCACTAGCCCGCCAAGACCCGAGCGTTTACAGTCAGACCGTCCCAGCACTGAGACGGGCCTCGGCAATGAGCGCCACAGTGGTTACCGGCGGTCGTTCCTCCTGCGTGGGTGGGGCTCTCCACTCGGGGCATCGGGTCTTGTACAGCTCCGAGCACATCATCCCTGCTTAACAACTCCTCATCCATAATGACTAGTATGGGACTCGGGGGGGCCGGGAAGGGAAGCCGAATGACCAGGACTCAGCTGGCTGCTGTGTTTCTCCCCTGCTGCCCTAGCGATGAGTAACACCCCCAGCGCATGGCAGATTCTCCCCCCGACCCTGCTGAAATCAGTGCGACCAGGAGCCAGGATGGGCCCAACGGGAGTTCTGCAGTCAAAGCCCTGCACTGCCAGGATTGGGCCCTTCCCTTTGGCCTGCGTGGGTCCTGCTGTTGTCTGATTATTGTATTTAGAAGGGGGGCTCCCGGTGTAGCCGGTTGTGTGATCCATGCCCCCTCGCTGCTCCCTTGCCCATGCCCCAGGGCCTTCTGCTAACCAACATCTCCGGCTTTTTGCAGAGCAAAGGGGATCAACACACCCATGGCCCCCGCAGACGGGGACAGCCCCAGCGCCCCCCTCACCATCCGCTCCCAGCCAGAAAGAACTGCCGGAATGGACCCTCCACCTGACACCGCCGCTCCCCCAGCACAGCCACTGGGCTCCCACTGACCAGCCCCCGGCCAGCGACAGTCCTTGGGCAGAGCATGCGGCCGACACCAGCGGGGTGGGAGAGTCACTGATGGGTACTCGGGGGGCGGCAGAGACAGCAGCCAGCGCAGAGGAGGGAAGACAGGACTGGAGCTCTGACAGCACCCCGACGCCAGCAGCCAGTGGGATGCCTCTGCGCCCGGCCGGCACCCTGACCCCAGGAGACGCTCTCAGTCCCCTGCAGGAGGCTGTTCTCGACCCGCCACTCCCCAGCTCCAGCGTCCGAGGCGACTACCCCCAGGCGGGGGGCTTGGGGCTGCCACCCCCTGGGGAGGATGCGGAGGATTCCTCTGGGGAGGTCACCTCCAGTGAGGAGGGTGCCACCCCCATCCTGCCGCTACCTGCCCTCCCCAGGGCCCGCCTGCATGCACTTCTCCCCCCCCACGCTGAGGATCCGGGGGCGCCCCCCTCCGCCCATCCCCACCCCGGGGGCAGCGAAGGCAGCGGCGCTGCGGAATACAGCTTCCCGGAGAGGAAGGGCAAAGCCGTGAGCTTTACGGAGAGGTTCATTTCCTTGGCTGGCCGCGCTGGTAGCCCTGCAGCCAGCACCGAGAGCTCTGGCTCCAAGGATCCCAGAGAGCGAGGTGGCATGGACGCCCACAGGGCTCTGGGCCTGGAGTCTCTGGATGAACCCCCGGGCACGGAGGAAACGCTGCCTGGCCCAGCCCGGGAGCTGAGAGACGAGCGTGCAGAGGATGAGCAGGCTGAGCTGCAAGGCGAAGGCACAGTCACTCATCCCGCTGAGGAGATTCCATCCCCAGAACCCACCCGCTCTGACCCTCGGGTGGCACCAGCCAGGGACAGCGAGCCGGCCAGCCGCCAACCTGCCACGCAGCCCAGCCCAGCCTGGGCAATGGCAGCCAGCCAGCCACGGCCGCAGGCGCTGGAGGGGGAGGGCGAGGACGTGTACTTGGCTGCAGCGCTGTCTGGAGACGGGTCAGCGGAGCAGTCTGTGGGTCCCCCTACACTCCCTTTTGGCACCACCCAGACCATGGCTCTGGGCCCCTACAAGCCGGCAGGGACCAACTGGCCGGTGACCAGGAGGGGGCAGATGGCGGCAGCAGCCATCAGCCTCCTACAGCCATCGCTGGCAATCACGGAGCCTGCCCACTCCCCCGCACCGGGTCCCACACTCCCCGGCGCAGTTGCTAACCGAGCCCCTGCAGCAGGACCAGCCCAGGCTGCTGTCGCAATGACCAGGCTGCCAGGAGCCACCGGCGCCACGGGGCTGGAGAGCTCACCCTCCGCACCGGCTGCTGCAAGCCACACAGAGCCCAACGCGGAGGATGTCTCAGGGGAAGCCAAGAGGGAGGAGCCCCCGACGCTGTGGGGCTCTGCAGCTGGGCCGCCCCCGCTGGAACAACGGCCGAGGGTGAGCGCCGGCCCTCAGGACCCCCTGCCCAGCTTGCCCACTGATTTGTCCCCGCTGGTTGCCGGGTCCCGGGAGGAAGGCGTCCTGGAGCCCGCCGTGCACACCAGCCAGGCCTTCGAGGTACCCGAGGCGGAGCTGGACAGATTCATTCTCCAGCCCGTGATTGACATAGCCCAAGAGGGCATCCTGGCTGAGGCCCCGGGGCTTTCGCTGGCGGACAGCGGGAGCGGAGAGGAGCAAGCGCTGCCCTTTGTGGGGGAGAAGGAGAGCCCGGCCTGGAGCGGGGAGAGCAAGGCCAGCACACTGGGTAAGTGGTGGCCCACAGAGCCGGGAACGGGGCCCATGCTGGGAGCTCAGGGGTGGTGGCACCTGCTGGAGCCAGGCAGAGCATGAGCAAGAGCTGGGCTCCCCACTCCCAACCCATAGCCCCCTCCTCCTATCCCAGACCTGGGCTCCCCCTGGAGTTCTGCTGAAGCCCCTCAATCCCGACCCACAGCCCCTCTGCTGTCCCAGTCCTGGGCTCCCCCTCCAGCTCTGCCGATGCCCCTGAGTCATGCTGAACTGTGCTACAGTGTGGTGGCTCTGTTGCTTGCCTGCCATTCCTGAAACCCTAGGAGCTTTCCCAGGATTTGAACCCAGGTCTTCACAGCCGGGCTGGCAAAGCCAGTCCCTCGGAAGCCACTCAGTTCCGAGGGAGGAAGCAGTCGGCACATTGCAAGATGCCATTCTGTGTCCGTCCCCCACACACACTTCTCTTCCCCTGTCCACTGCTGCTCCTGATCCCAGGTTTCTGGGTAGCTGCACCCCCACCCCTGCACTTCTCCTCCCTCCATCCCAGGGCCTGACCAAAAGCCTGATGAAGTCATGGGGGACGTCTGGGGATGCAGGACCCAGCCCAGGCAAAGGGCGAGGTCCCCCATCTCTCATGGAACAAGGAACAAAATAATCCGTCTTAGTTTCCTAGCGCTGCTTCCTGTGCAGCCGCCCTCGCGCCCGACGCGGAGGTTCTCCAACCGAGCAGCCCCGCCGATGAAATGCAACTCGGACACAGTCAAGTTGGCAAAAAATAGCCTCAGCTTCTCCTCCGAGCTGGCATGCTGGAGCCTCCGAGGGGGAACCTCAGCAGAGTCCTTGTGCGTAGCTCAGCGAGCAAGTCTGCCCGGCTGCTAAAAACCAGGGGCCTTCAGAGAGAGCGAGAGAACAATAGAGAAAACAGAGTCGATAGAGCCACTAGGCTCTAGGGATGGAGAGAGAGTTACTAGGATTTTAGGCGCTAGATGGGTGGGGAGGGGGATGGATAGATGACCGATAAAGGGGGTGTATTGGGATAGATAGGTTAGGATTTCGGGAGAGAAAGACTAGACTCTAGGAATGGCGGCAGATCGACAGCCCAACGGAGAGACACACTGAGAGATTGATTCAATGTTAAGGCCAGGGTTCAGGGGGCCTTATTTTATTAGCACCAATTTCCTCGGTGCTGAGTTTTATACAGAGCTCTCCTTCCAACCACGACGGGGCTGCAGGCATAGCCTGGATTTCTCGACGTGCTCTGTGCTCTTAGAGCGAGCCGGGAACCCAGGCTTTTAAATATTTAATCTTTGCAGTTGCTAATAATAATAGCTAGAGAGGCAGCTCCGGGCAGGGAATATTTAGCATCCAAAGACTTTTCGTATCTGGGAGAAAGACAACAAATATATTTAAAGTTTGGAGCCACTGAGAGGCGGGAAAGTCAACACGGTTAATATTCAGCAGTCTGAGGTTCCTGCGCTGCTGGGAAAGGAGCGTGCTGGTGAAATGTGTGTCAGCGCTGGGAGCTGGAGCTGCTGCTGGGCCGAGCCCCTGCAAACAGCTCCCTGATGGGCAAATGCGCTGTGGCACCTCACCCCTCCGCCCTGGCACGCCCGGCAGGAACCTGGCACGATCGTATTGTTTCTGGGGCAACACAGACTCTGTCCTGTGGCCGTGCTAATGCTGGGGGGTAGGGGGAGCAGTCAACTTCCCCCAATGGGGAGGTAGGTCAGACAGACTCCTACCTGGAGCGATTCCCCAACCCTCCCCAAATCCCCAGCTGGCGCGCCCCACTGCCCCCGCTCTTGACCTGACCCAGGGGGGTTTCTTTCCCCAGCGCTGACCGTGGGTGGGGGCTGCAGCTTGGTTCTCGCTAGGCCTGGATGAACTGGCCTCTTCGTTACAAGAGCCAGCCAGAAATTTTCCATTGGAAAATGCTGATTCCATGAAATTGAAATGTTTTGCGGGAACGTAACAATTTCATCTAAATTTTCACCGGAAACTTTTCGTTTCCATTTTATCCTTCAGACTTCGATGTCAATATGCTGCACCGTGCTAGCCTGTAATGTCATTAATGAACAGTCCAAACAATACATTCAAAACCAAATAGTTTTGGACTGTTTCATTTCATAAAAAATTCCCAGATGGTGACTTTTTTTGTCACGTTTGGGGGCAAAACCAGATTATGATGTGGTAGAACTTCCCACGGGACAGGAGTTTCCCCATGTCAGGGCTGTGGGTATAACACTCAGTGTCCCTCCTTGCCGGCCTGTGGAGTGAGCCAGGCAGGTCCCATCCCCAAACTGCCCCCTACCACCACACACACCCTGTCCAGACCCACCCTCCTGGCCTCTGTCCCTTGCTCCCCCATCCTAGCAGCTCCCTGGCCAAGCCAGCCCAGACTGCAGAGACATCCCTGCGTGGAAGCTGGCCATGCTGCAGGGTTGCTGGGTGGCTCAGCCAGGGGACAGGTAGCCCTGGCTACGATCCAGTCCCAGACAGGGCCGGCTCTGGCTTTTTTGCCGCCCCAGGCTCTCCCCCCCACCCCGGCGGCCAGAGCGCCGGGGGCAGGGCGGCGAGCCCCGGC